CATGATCCCGTCAGTTCCAGCTGCTTTACCCTCTTTCATTCTACACAATGCCTGATGTACCTCCCCCACACTCACATCCTGCTCTTCTTCACTCCTAAAAGATGTTATACCTCCCTGACCAGTGCGTGAAATTACCGCCTCCCTTTCATTGACATTTAAAAGTTCCTAAAAATATTCCTGCCATCTACCCAATACCTCCAGCTCCCTATCTACTAATTTCACTACTCTGTTTTTAACTGACAAATCCATTCGTTCCTTAGGCTTTTTTAACTTGTTTATCTTACTCCAAAATTTTTTCTTATGTTCGTCAAAATTTCTTGACAGTGCCTCTCCCACTCTATCATCTGCTCTCCTTTTACACTCTCACCACTCTCTTTACCTTTCTTTTACTCTCCATATACTTTGCTCATCTTATAACACTTCTGCTTTGTAAAAACCTCTCATAAGCTACCTTTTTCTCTTTTATCACACCCTTTACTTCATCTTTCCACCAATCACCCCCCTTTCCTCCTGCAACCACCTTCCTATAGCCACAAACTTCTGCCCCACATTCTAATACTATTCCAACCCTCTTCAACCCCCCTTCCCCACTACTCATACTTGCACTAGTGCACCTTTCTGCCAATAGTTGCTTATATCTTACCCTAACTTCCTCCTCCCTTAGTTTATACACTTTCATCTCTCTCTTACTTCTTGTTGCCTTTTCCTTTTGTCCCATCTAACTGTAGCTACAAGTAAATAATGATCTGATATATCAGTTGCCCCTCTATAAACGTGTATATCCTGAAGCCTACCGATCAACCTTTTATCCACCAATACATAATCTAACAAACTACTTCCATTACATGTTCTGTCATATCCTGCATACTTATCATTATATGTATATATTTATACGATTAATTATTTTGGTTAGGAAATGGATCGTTCACCATGGGTGACGACCAGTTGAGGATTGTGTGGCCTCACCTCTGCACTACTTGCCTGACGCGAGCTGACATCAAGGGCGAGTGGTGTGGGTTAGGTATTACGACACCTCTCTCGGTCTTGAAGTCAGCCTTGCTTGCTCATTTACATTGATTGAGAAACTATCTTGAGTACAGTATTATTCTCTCAGTCTCTAGAAAGTGCGAGTATTTGTGACACTTTCACTTAGTATAGTTCCTCTGTGTTTAACCCTTTCAGGGTCCCCAGGCCCTCTCCCAGACTTGTTCTCAGGGTTGCCCAAATTTAAAAAAAAAAAAAAAAAAAAAAAAAAAAAAAAAAAAAAAAGGATAGAATCTTTTCCCGATCACAATGACACCAAAAGTATGAAATTTAATGGAAAACTTACAGAATTATGCTCTCGCGAATTTAGCGGTCTCGACATTTACGCATCTGCGATTTTGCCCATTTTGAGCCTTATTTTCGGCCAATTCCAGTGTACTAGTTGACAAAATTCATAACTGTTTCGCTAGAACTCCATTTTTTCTATCGAATGAGTACAAGAAACCACCCATTTACCGATTTCAACTATCCAATACAGTGGTCAGAATTTAGCAACTTTGCCAATTTCACAGAAATTTCAAAAGAAGCCAATTTCCAAATAGGGTCCAGAATAAACAAGACATTCCTGGCACTAAAATAACATTTCCTTTGTTCATTAGTCACATCCCCATGCCCCTCTTACACTCTTTTGCTTTCCACTTTGAATTTTTATTCTCACAAAAAATAGATTTACTAACCATACCACTGGCGGGATTTGAACCCGCGGTCAGAGTCTCAAAACTCCAGACCGTCACATTAGCTACTGGGTCAGCTAGCTTCAATAAGATTCGTCCAACCAGGTGTATTTCTACACCATAGGAAGGTTGGCATAGGCACCACTGTGTCCACCACTGTGTAGAAATACACCTAGTTGGACGAATCTTATTGAAGCTAGCTGGCCCAGTGGCTAACGCGACAGTCTGGAGTTTGAGACTCTCTGACCGCGGGTTCAAATCCCGCCCATGGTATGGTTTGTTTGCAATCGTGTCATTACAATTTCTTGAGTCAAGAAGATTTACTGTTATGCAGACTACTGCATTAGTGTAGAAATGGTATAAATAATATCGGCGCACTTGTGAAAGAATATTAGACTCGCCAGTTGACGTGTATTGGACACTTAGCACGATTTGTTTACTTTTGAGCTTTGGTAAAAATCGAACATTTCTGCTACTTTGAGCTCAATTTCAAGGTATTTTTCATTCTAAAACCAGTCAAAATCATCTCAATTTCTGTAATATGTCTTCCATTCTATAAAATGAGACCAGGAAAACTAGAACACAACAATAAATTCCATACGAAAATACAGTGCAAAGTCACTGTTTTAATCCAAAAACACGGTCTGTTTTTTTTTTTCTCATTACGCACTGTGTGCTGCAGGATTTTTTTTATACTGCGCACACTGACCACATAGACCTATTCTTTCATATGTAGGCCTACCAGCTTTCTCTCACTAGAATTGAGGGAGCTAGAATTTAGGCATACTAGTACGTCAAAAACCCTGGTGCGTAAGCCGTACTAGTACGTCCGAAACCCTGAAAGAGTTAAGAGACTTCCATTACTCTGGTCGGATTATAAGTTGTTCAACTCAGAGAGACAAAGAGAGACTGTAACTTTATCAATTCTATGTTTAAAGACCTTCAATCAGAATGGATGTTATTGTAAACTGTATATAATTTACAAGTCTGTTAAGTGTTTGCATCTAATTGATAAGTTAAAGGTACCATTAAAATACCTTAAGACCACAACGTAATATACGTTATATTAAAGAGATATTTTACAAAGTTTTTATGTTCTCCTCACTCACGTATATAATTTCCTATTACAATTTCCCATGAGTACATTTCTTACTGAAGATACCCTAGATTCGTACCAGATACTTTACAAATCCATTGGAATATTGTAACGCATGCATAACTTAGAGGAAGAATTCTGCTCCACTTCCCCATGGAGATTCTTCCAATAGTATATGCATAATATGTTAGTGCTCAATTAAGTTTCTTTCTTGAAATCATGACCTGCCCATTTGAGCAGTAAGCCACTGGCATAAGCTAGATGAACCAGGTCAAGCATGTGCATCGAGGTACCTGTGGAGACAATGTTATCTATGGATGCTAAGAGGGGAAGTATGAGTGTAAAGTGATACCAACACACTTATATGGGTGTGAAGTATGGTTTGTGAACGTTGCAGTGAGAAGGCGGCTCGAGGCAGTGGAGATGTGTCTGAGGACAATGTGCGATGTAAATATTATGCAGAGAATTCGTAGTGTGGAAATTAGGTGGTGTGGAGTTGCTAAAAGTATTAGTCAAGAGGGCTGAAGAGGAGCTGTTGAGGCAGTTTGGTCATTTAGAGAGAATGGAACAAAGTAGAATGACTTAAAGAGCCTATAAATCTGTAAGGGAAGGAAGGCGGAGTAGGGGTTGTCCCCGAAAAGGTTGGAGGGGGGAGGGGAAAAGGAGGTTTTGTGGGCAAGAAGCTTGGACTTCCAGCAAGCGTGTGTGAGCATGTTAGATAGTGAATGGAGACGAATGGTTTTTGAGACCTGACAAGCTGCTGGAGTGTAAGCAGGGTAATATTTTGTGAAGGGATTCAGGAAAACCGGTTAGCTGGACTCGAGTCCTGGAAATGGGAAGTGTAATGCCTGCACTTTAAAGGAGGGGTTTGAGATATTGGCTGTTTGGAGGGACACCTAAGCTGTCGTATCTGAGCTCCTCTGCAAAGACAGTGATTATGTATGAGTGATGGTGAAAGTGTTGAATACTTACACAATGGAAATAAATGGTATAAAATACCGACACAATGGAAATATAAACACAAATGCAGTATAATGTGATCCTTTATTGACTACGTTTCGCCCACACAGGGGGCTTTTTCAAGTCACAAACAGAACAGTTCTGTTTGTGACTTGAAAAAGCCCACTGTGTGGGCGAAACGTAGTCAATAAAGGATCACATTATACTGCATTTGTGTTTATATTTCCAATACTTACACAATACTACAAGAGGATCAAGAAAAGCTGACTTTTAATTCATTTATGTTTAATGAACTGTGAGCAAATTAATATGACTGTTGTACAAAAATTGAATCCTTATTATACTCCAATGTCAATAATAATCACATATTTCTAAAAGCATTCATCAAATTAGAAGAGAACTCAAGTAACGTGATACATTGATTATAGACAAGACTGTTCATCTTACTATGAAATCATGTGGTCTGTTCCTTCACCTTAAATTTCACTTGCTCTACATAATAATAGTTTTGTTTTTACTGTAATCTGAGAATATTTCATACTATAAAAGTAAAATCAAAGAAATATGAAAGTTCTCTTATAATATGACAACCTGCAGAAGTACTTTCACATCAGCTGCTACACTGAATCTGAGTACTGCAATTCAATATTTAAAAATCATAAAAACTCAATAAAAAAAAAGTTTAATAAACTAGCAACTGTATCGAAAACTCAGTTTTGAGTATGGCAATTTATAACTGCTATAAAAAATGTCATAACGTTACAAGAGAAAAAATGGATCCAACTATCTAGGTACTTCCTAGCTACAAGTTTAAGATATAAATCCTATTAGTTGTACTTACTTTAATAGCTTGTATTAATATCTGCATTACATACCAACTCTACATTATAACTATCAGCTTTGAATTTTTTTTTTTTATAAATGTGAATGTTGTAACAAGCTGACAAATACATCATAATCTGTTGCTAGTATCCACATTATCCACTGAAGTATTGATGTCACAGGAAACAACAAAAAAGTTACATTAAAAACATTTAGCCTACACGATAAATGTGCCAGATGTCTAAGTCCCAGACTTTACATAAAATACAATTTATTTTTCTTAAATTTAATCAGTACCATATCTAAGCTGGTTAATAGGGTGCCCCTGAAACATTAACACATATACCAGTATTATTAATGATTTTTAGAGTTTAAAATTAGCATACCATACTTTTCTACAAAAACTCATGCGCTCCCAATAAACACTGAGTATCTGACTCTTTCACTAAAATCATTTTTAACTATGTATTTAGTTCATTATTAAATACCTCTCATGTTGACTCCATTTCCAGTGGAATGTCCCTATTTTCTCTTTTCCTGGCTGAACATTCTGTATCTGATTCTTACTGTTCTAGGCTTTAACAGCTTTTATTCAGCATTTAATATTTTCTTAGTATTTAATCCTTTTTTTTTCCTGTACCTAGTTCTTCATCTTGTACACTATGTACGTACTTAAGTCATCTATGCAGTCTAATAACAAGTACAGAGGTAATGCAACAGGAAAATAGCAATACAGATAATCTTTTTAACATGGTCAAACATTCTTAACAATTACATAGGGAATTCCTTACCTTAACTGCAACATATAGTTTCTACTTAAGTCTTTCTATACAAGTGTATTATGGAGCTGGGATCAAAACATTGCGGAAAACTGCATGCGAAAGAGGAAGAATAAATGGAAATATTCAAGCTAACAAATCCATTTAGTGAGGAAAGTTAGGATACAAAGCATTAAAGCAACGTGGAAATCTAGTTATTTTTAATAAGTTCTATAAAATTCTTCGAAAGTACATTTAAATTATTTATCTCTTGGGCATCTACAATAGATATATAACAGCAAACATTTCCATTGCTTATTTTCAATTTTCTTACTAACAAGCAACTCTAATTTCCAGGTGAAATGAATGTAGTCTTCTGAAGGTTTTTACTTCCTTGTGGCACGTCCCCTGCCTCTTCCCTTTCCTCTTCCCTTTCGATGAGATGTAGAGACTGCAGGAGCAGCTTCACATTCATCTTCACTTTTTTTTCCTTCATCATCTGCTACTCCAACAGCTGATGCCTTATCAACACTTAAAATAATAATATATATATTATTAGTCTCTTAGAGGAGTGCCTACATATCAAGTACAGCACAGTGTATTAAAGAGTATGTTATATAACTGAATAAATCAATATTTACCATAATTTGTTTAACATATAGAAAGTTACACACTGATATCTATGGATGTCACATTTCCCTCAGGTTTGTAATAAACTGGTACCACATGTTTCCAGTCCTTCCTAGTACATACATGTGTTTGGCATATACTATACACTTGTAGATTATCACCTATAGTATACCACTGATGCATTTTTTTTTGGGAGTTCACAATATTCATATGGTTCCCTTGTACAGTCTTCCCTTATACATTTCAAATGTGTCAAGAGTGTGCTCATCATACATGCTAAACAAATTGACCATCTATTTCAGCTATGATAAAAAAAAAAAAAAAAAAAAAAAAAAAAAAAAAAAAAAAAAAAAAAAAAAAAAGAGTTGCCAACAGCCTGCACTAAGAATATATGGAGTGTCCTCAGCAAGCATATGCACCTAAGAAAGTATAAAGAAACAAAGTGACAGAAAAGGGGCAAGAAAAGAAAGGAAAATGCTATTTACTGAAAAGGTAACCAGTAAAGAAATCAACAAAATGGTATGTCTGGATAAGTGTAAGCTAAAAAGAAGTCGCAACATTTCTTTCCTTACAGATGTCTGAGGATAACTGGTCTACTGCTACTGGATTTATCAGGAAAAAAAGACTGCCTTATATCTCTGTACGTACTGACTCTTAAAAAAATTTTTTTTTACAATACTTTATGTAAAAAAATATGTCCTCTTTATTCAACTCTTTGGGGTTGACAGGTCCTCTCAGAGACTTGTTCTCAGGGTCGGCCAAATTAAAAAAAAAAAAAAAAAAAAAAAAAAAAAAATCTTATGAAAAGATAGAGAATCTTTTCCCGATCATAATGACACCAAAAGTATGAAATTTGATGGAAAACTTACGGAATTATGCTCTCGCGAAGTTAGCCGTATCGATGACATATACGCATCGGCGATTTTGCCCACTTTGAGCCCTATTTTCGGCCAATTCCATTGTACTCGTTGACAAAAATCATAACTATTTCACTAAACTCAATTTTTTTCTATCGAATGAGTACAAAAAACCACCCATTTACTGATTTCAACTATCCAATAAAGTGGTCAGAATTTAGCAATTTTGCCAATTTCACATAAATTTCAAAAGATGCCAATTTCTGAATAGGGTCCAGAATAAACAAGAAAGACATTCCTGGCACTAAAGTAACAAGTTCTCTGTTCGTTAGTCACATCCCCAGGCCCCTCTTATATTTCTTTTGCTTTCCACTTTGAATTTTTATTCTCACACAAAAAAATAAGATTTACTGTTATGCAGACTGCTGCATTAGTGTAAAAATGGTATAAATAATATCAATGCACTTGTGAAAGAATATTAGACTCACCAGTTGATGTGTATTGGACGCCTAGCATGATTTGTTTACTTTTAAACTTTGGTAAAAATCGAACATTTCTGCTAATTTGAGCTCAATTTCAAGGCACTTTTCATTCTAAAACCAGTCAAAATCATCTCAATTTCTGTAATATGTCTTCCATTCTATAAAATGAGACCAAGAAAACTAGAATACAACAATAAATACCATACGAAAATACAGTGCAAAGTCGCTGTTTTAATCAAAAAAAACACGGTCAAAGTTTTTTTTTCTCATTACGCACTGTGTGCTGCAGGATTTTTTTTATACTGCGCACACTGACCACATAGACCCACCCATTCTTTCATATGTAGACCCACCAGCTTTCTCTCACTAGATTTGAGGGCGCTAGAATTTAGGCGTACTAGTACAGTAGGTTGTAGGTTGGTAGACAGCAACCACCCAGGGAAGTACTACCGTCCTGCCAGATGACTGTGAAACAAAAACCTGTAACTGTTTTGCATGATGGTAGGATTGCTGGTTTCTTTTTCTGTCTCATAAACACGCTAAGATAACAGGGATATCTTGCTACTCCTACTTACACTTTGGTCACACTTCACAGACACGCACATGCATATATATATATACATACATCTAGGTTTTTCTCCTTTTTCTAAATAGCTCTTGTTCTTTTTTATTTCTTTTATTGTCCATGGGGAAGTGGAAAAGAATCTTTCCTCCGTAAGCCATGCGTGTCGTATGAGGCGACTAAAATGCCGGGAGCAATGGGCTAGTAACCCCTTCTCCTGTATACAATTACTAAAAAAGAGAAGAAGAAAAACTTTATAAAACTGGGTTGCTTAAATGTGCGTGGATGTAGTGCGGATGACAAGAAACAGATGATTGCTGATGTTATGAATGAAAAGAAGTTGGATGTCCTGGCCCTAAGCGAAACAAAGCTGAAGGGGGTAGGAGAGTTTCAGTGGGGGGAAAATAAATGGGATTAAATCTGGAGTATCTGAGAGAGTTAGAGCAAAGGAAGGGGTAGCAGTAATGTTAAATGATCAGTTATGGAAGGAGAAAAGAGAATATGAATGTGTAAATTCAAGAATTATGTGGATTAAAGTAAAGGTTTGGATGCGAGAAGTGGGTCATAATAAGCGTGTATGCACCTGGAGAAGAGAGGAATGCAGAGGAGAGAGAGAGATTTTGGGAGATGTTAAGTGAATGTATAGGAGCCTTTGAACCAAGTGAGAGAGTAATTGTGGTAGGGGACTTGAATGCTAAAGTAGGAGAAACTTTTAGAGAGGGTGTGGTAGGTAAGTTTGGGGTGCCAGGTGTAAATGATAATGGGAGCCCTTTGATTGAACTTTGTATAGAAAGGGGTTTAGTTATAGGTAATACATATTTTAAGAAAAAGAGGATAAATAAGTATACACGATATGATGTAGGGCGAAATGACAGTAGTTTGTTGGATTATGTATTGGTAGATAAAAGACTGTTGAGTAGACTTCAGGATGTACATGTTTATAGAGGGGCCACAGATATATCAGATCACTTTCTAGTTGTAGCTACACTGAGAGTAAAAGGTAGATGGGATACAAGGAGAATAGAAGCATCAGGGAAGAGAGAGGTGAAGGTTTATAAACTAAAAGAGGAGGCAGTTAGGGTAAGATATAAACAGCTATTGGAGGATAGATGGGCTAATGAGAGCATAGGCAATGGGGTCGAAGAGGTATGGGGTAGGTTTAAAAATGTAGTGTTAGAGTGTTCAGCAGAAGTTTGTGGTTACAGGAAAGTGGGTGCAGGAGGGAAGAGGAGCGATTGGTGGAATGATGATGTAAAGAGAGTAGTAAGGGAGAAAAAGTTAGCATATGAGAAGTTTTTACAAAGTAGAAGTGATGCAAGGAGGGAAGAGTATATGGAGAAAAAGAGAGAAGTTAAGAGAGTGGTGAAGCAATGTAAAAAGAGAGCAAATGAGAGAGTGGGTGAGATGTTATCAACAAATTTTGTTGAAAATAAGAAAAAGTTTTGGAGTGAGATTAACAAGTTAAGAAAGCCTAGAGAACAAATGGATTTGTCAGTTAAACATAGGAGAGGAGAGTTATTAAATGGAGAGTTAGAGGTATTGGGAAGATGGAAGGAATATTTTGAGGAATTGTTAAATGTTGATGAAGATAGGGAAGCTGTGATTTCGTGTACAGGGCAAGGAGGAATAACATCTTGTAGGAGTGAGGAAGAGCCAGTTGTGAGTGTGGGGGAAGTTCGTGAGGCAGTAGGTAAAATGAAAGGGGGTAAGGCAGCCGGGATTGATGGGATAAAGATAGAAATGTTAAAAGCAGGTGGGGATATAGTTTTGGAGTGGTTGGTGCAATTATTTAATAAATGTATGGAAGAGGGTAAGGTACCTAGGGATTGGCAGAGAGCATGCATAGTTCCTTTGTATAAAGGCAAAGGGGATAAAAGAGAGTGCAAAAATTATAGGGGGATAAGTCTGTTGAGTGTACCTGGTAAAGTGTATGGTAGAGTTATAATTGAAAGAATTAAGAGTAAGAAGGAGAATAGGATAGCAGATGAACAAGGAGGCTTTAGGAAAGGTAGGGGGTGTGTGGACCAGGTGTTTACAGTGAAACATATAAGTGAACAGTATTTAGATAAGGCTAAAGAGGTCTTTGTGGCATTTTTGGATTTGGAAAAGGCGTATGACAGGGTGGATAGGGGGGCAATGTGGCAGATGTTGCAAGTGTATGGTGTAGGAGGTAGGTTACTGAAAGCAGTGAAGAGTTTTTACGAGGATAGTGAGGCTCAAGTTAGAGTATGTAGGAAAGAGGGAAATTTTTTCCCAGTAAAAGTAGGCCTTAGACAAGGATGTGTGATGTCACCGTGGTTGTTTAATATATTTATAGATGGGGTTGTAAGAGAAGTAAATGCGAGGGTCTTGGCAAGAGGCGTGGAGTTAAAAGATAAAGAATCACACACAAAGTGGGAGTTGTCACAGCTGCTCTTTGCTGATGACACTGTGCTCTTGGGAGATTCTGAAGAGAAGTTGCAGAGATTGGTGGATGAATTTGGTAGGGTGTGCAAAAGAAGAAAATTAAAGGTGAATACAGGAAAGAGTAAGGTTATGAGGATAACAAAAAGATTAGGTGATGAAAGATTGAATATCAGATTGGAGGGAGAGAGTATGGAGGAGGTGAACGTATTCAGATATTTGGGAGTGGACGTGTCAGCGGATGGGTCTATGAAAGATGAGGTGAATCATAGAATTGATGAGGGAAAAAGAGTGAGTGGTGCACTTAGGAGTCTGTGGAGACAAAGAACTTTGTCCTTGGAGGCAAAGAGGGGAATGTATGAGAGTATAGTTTTACCAACGCTCTTATATGGGTGTGAAGCGTGGGTGATGAATGTTGCAGCGAGGAGAAGGCTGGAGGCAGTGGAGATGTCATGTCTGAGGGCAATGTGTGGTGTGAATATAATGCAGAGAATTCGTAGTTTGGAAGTTAGGAGGAGGTGCGGGATTACCAAAACTGTTGTCCAGAGGGCTGAGGAAGGGTTGTTGAGGTGGTTCGGACATGTAGAGAGAATGGAG